TGGTTTCCGAGGTGTGCTAGCTGAAATGCGATGGGCTAAACGACCACATCGACCTGTGCTGCTCCGTATCGTGGACAATGGGTACAGTATTCGTCACTTTGTGTACACCGTTTCGCCATCATTGCCGTCGGCTCCAGTGATAGGGCCTACTGCAGCCCCAGCTGACTGGGGCACTCACCGCGCCCTTGCTGAGGCGTGTCTGGCCATGGCGACGGACGAGGCGCAGTCGCTTGAAGCTGCATGGGCATTTCTATCACGAGTTTTGTCGAAGTTCGCAGTGACGGCAGCGAAGCAGGTGGCGATCAACACGGGCACGGAGTTGAAAGAGCCTGGAGTTTTCGGCCGCTACTTGTCTCCCAGGTGGGTTGATGCGACGTACGAGTTAGACGATGATACGCACGCGAAGTTGATTGCTGAAGGCTGGCAGTGGATGACCAATAGTCTTCAGGCGATATTGTAGCTCTATCCTGGGACCAGTCATCTAGATCAGTGCTCTCTTGAGACTGACAGTTTTCTCACGGTGCAGTATCACGGTCAAGGGCTGCATGCGCGCCGTGATTTCTCTGTCAAGCAAGCGCGGGATTTGGTCAGTGGCATCCCCATGGACACAGATGCGATCTCCCAGTTCTTAGACGAGGTGAATGAGGACTTGGAGGCCGCTGTTTCAGGCATGAACAAGGAGTCCACGCAGCTGTGGAGTGATTGGTGCGCCGAGTCAGTGTCTCGCGGTGCGCGTGCCCTTCGCAGACTTGCGAAGGTCAAGGCCATACCGGAGCCAGCTCAGTGTTCAGGGCCAGTCGTCTCAGGTAGCCCAGTTGCGATCGTCGAGAGTGGAGATGTACCAGAAGCTGCGGAAGGCAAGTTGTCAAGCACCTTATGCTTGGGTGCCTGATCGTAGCACTTGCCCTGCGATGGAACCTGAAGCTATCAGATCGGTGGTGAAGACCTTCCCGACGGGAACATCAGCTAGCTTCGATCATTTCCACCCTCGGCATGCGCTCATGTTAGACGACAACGCTTTGGAAGTGCTCAGTCTGATATTACAATGCTCTGAGGCAATTGGGCTTCTCCCTAAGCAGTTATGTTGGATACAGATGCCGATGTTGGGAAAGCCGTCAGGAGGCAATCGTTTGATAGTTCTTTATGCTGGAGTGTACCGTATTTGGCAGCGCGCTCGCAGATGGATGGTATCAGGCATCAGTCAGCAGCTTTCTCGTAGATATTGGGGTGCAGCTAAAGGGCGTTCGGCACTTGATTGTGCTTGGCTGCAGGCGGAACGAGCTGAGAGTGATCATCACAGTCGCCGTCATCACCTCATGTGGGTTATCGATTGGTCCAAATACTACGAGTCCATACCTTTGGATTTGCTGCGATTGAAGTTTCTGAAAGTTGGAGTGCCTGTCTGCTGGCTCAAGCTGGTATATAACACGTGGAGGTCACCGCGTATCATTCGCTTGGGCAAGCATCATTCTGTCACACCTTTGTTTGCTATATGTGGATTACCTGCGGGCGACGGCTACAATGATTTGGCGATCAAGGTGCACGCTTACGAAGAGTTCGATGAGTGCATATCCAGATGCCCAGCGATAGACTTTCTGAACTACATCGACGACACGGCTCTCAGCAATGGTGCCAAAGACGAGGAGGTTGCAGTGAAGGTCTCTGTGCACGCTATGGTTGAGTTCCGACGTACTTCTGATAAACTCTATGTTGGGTTCAACTATGATAAGATTGGCTTGCTGGCGTCCACCCCGAAGCTCGGCCACGCGGTGCTCGACGCGCTGGATTTGCCGCACTCGATCTTCAAGCAGGGCGTCTCCTACCTCGGCGTCGACGAGGCTGCAGGAGCCAGGCGCGATGCAGTAGGGGCGAGAGCCAAACAAGCCCGACGTTTTTCTGGCATGAACATGAGACTGAGGAAAGTCAAGTTTTACAAGAAACTGTTTAAGGGTCGGAAAGATGCCCCATTTTTCCAAGATTTGCCGTGCTGGAGTTGCCCGAGCTAGCAGTTTTGGCGCTGAGGTTTCAGGCCTCAGTCAGGCCGAGTGGGGGCCCCACCAGCGAATGATTTGTAGTGCTGACGCCCCCTGTCCCGGCGGGGTCTCTTTAACTGCGAAGCTGGTGCTTCTTGGGGACAAGAGTCGGGTCGGGCGATAGGGGGGGATTGGGAAAGGGGGGGTTACGAAATTTGCTGCATGCAGCTGGTTTCCACCGAGGGGCCCATTCCTCGATACATGGGCGCCTCCCGGCGCCGGGAGGCGCCGGGAAAGTCAGCTACGTGAGCTGATTCTCAACCCCCCCCTTTGCTATCCCCCCCTTTCGCCCGACCCGAAAGAGCTCTCGTCTCGCGGTGGCCCCTGCGATCCATTGGTGTAGGATGATTTGGATAGCCTCCACCCAGCCCGAGCGAGCACTAGTCAGTAAGAGTGAGCTTCTTAGGCTCTGGGACTCGGCCCAGCCTCTGCAGGGTGGTCCTCGGAGCTCCTCTCGCGGCCCTATCCGTCGCGCGGTGCTAGTGCTCCAGAGAGCTGGGTGGGAGGTGCTAGGACCTTTGGAGTGGAATGACCACAATGGTCTCACGGTAAAGATAGATCAGACCCCTCCTGCTCTGTTAGCCGAGATGCTAGAGATATAGTACTCAGCGCCAGCATGAACTGACACTAGCAGCTAAATTAGGCCACCCCCCTGGGCACAGGGCCACCTTGGATCTCGTGCGGGACCGCTTGGGGCCAAAAGCTAAGGGTTTGGGTAGGCACGCTGAGTTTTTAGTGAAATGCTGTGGGTGCAATGGAGCGTGGACCAACGAGAGAGGCCGTTTGGCGGGTTACGCTACGGACGGGCGCTGTGAGCGCGGACAGGTCGACACACTCCACCACAGGCTTTACACGTGCATGCGTGAGGATGTGAAAGCAGCTCGAGACGAGTCGGGCGCCACGCCTGAGCATATTCAGGCGGCGCTCGAAGATCCTGATCTCGAGATTTTCACCCGCGGGATCTTTGTGTATCCAGATAGTGAGTTGCCCAAGCCGAGTACGTCGTCCGAGGTTGAGTTGTTTGATGTCGCGGGCAACCCACTAGACATGGATCTTGAGCAGATTGCAGAGCTCTCAAGCGATCAGGTGCTCCGTCTTGTATCAGACGGATCATGTTCCAAGCCTCCCATCCGTGCGCTCCAGCGAGCAGCATGGGCCATTGGAGTGCTGCCTGACGTTGGGGCCGCACCTGAGCCAGTTGCTGTTTTACGTGGCGTAGTCCACGGCACTTTTCCTCAGACACCCGCGATGGCTGAGCACGTTGCGATAGCTTTGTGCGGCCAGGTGGCGAATAGACCCGCGGTGCTCGGCGCGGATTGCATGTCGGCGATAAAAGTTACTCAGCGCAACATCGTTCACCAGTTGGCTGCCTCATCGAAGTTTGCTGGCATCCGTCTTTTCGCTCATAGTCTCGAGGGGCAGGAGTGGCTCCAGGAGGTTCGGCATGTGAAAGCGCACCGCACACAGGCAGTCATAGATGCTCTGCCCGGCGGCGAGAGAGAGTTTGCTGTCGGCAATTCGGTGGTGGATCATCATGCTAAGAAAGTTTTGATGCATCATGTCGGTGCAGATCCAGAGTTTCTTTCTTCTGTCAACCTTGCCCTTGAGAGGGCAAACAATTTCGTGAAGATTGCCGCTGCTGTGCTCCCGCTATATAAGAGCGATCTCAGGTGGCCTCGTCCCCCCCGCGCCCCGAGGCGCGCGCAACACAGGCTCCGCGTCGGCTGGCATGACTGGCAGGACGGGGCCGCGGGATTCCATTGCAGCCGCTGTTTGCGGCTAGGCGGGAACTCCCGATCGCAGCTGGATCTTACTGGTTGTTTTGGTGTACCCCCTCTCATAGATAAGCTGCTCAAGGATCCCCAGGGGCACCTCATCGTCGCGGCTGGATTCGCTCGAAATCCTGCCTCGGTTGATGTTGTGTGCGCGATCCCTGAGAAGCAAAGCTATGTGTGTTTAAAGTGTGGAGGGTGGTCCCAGGGCCGTGCTTTAAAGTTGGCTGGTCCCTGTATGCCCCCCACCAAGAAGAGCCAGGAAGTTATAAACCGTTTTTTCCAGGGTAAATCTCCTAATCGCAAATGTTCGGAGCTCCTGGGTCGCACTGTTCCCCTTGCTTGGCTGGCCCCCAAGAGGCCGTCGGAAAGAGTCCCCAGGAGCCCCGCGGTGTCTGACTCTACGGTGGTGTCTATTCCTTCGGCATCAGGGGCCGCCTCTTCATATGAGGTGCGGTTGGCAGCTCTTGCGGAGAGAATTCGTGATAAGGAAGCTGCCGCTTCGAGAGGCCAGTATTCGTGACAAGGAAGCTGCCTCTTCGAGAGGCCAGTAATCTGAGCTGAGCTCAGTATTTAGTGCTGTGCACTTTCCCCGTCAGGGCATTTCATTCATTCATTCATTCATTCCTCCTCCTTTTCTTCCTCCCCCTCCTCCTACTCCTCCTCCTCCTCATCCTCCTCCTCCTCCTCCCCCTCCTCGTCGGCTTCCGCCTCCGCAGCCGCCATCTGCTCTTCCAGCCGCCCCGGCGCGCCCCGTGCCTTGCGCGGCCCGCCAAATCCGCGCAGACGCGCCTGTGTCCGCCGTCGCTGCCGGTGAAAGTTGCGCTGTTTGCTTCTGTCGCCGTCGTCGTCGTCGTCGGAGGAGGAGGAGCAAGAAGAGGAGGAGGAAGAGGAGGACGAGCAGGCGGAAAGGGAGGAGGGCGAGCGAGGAGGACGAGGGCGAACGCGGTGGAAAGTGCGATGGTTACGACAGGGTGCGGCTTGCATTCGGCACCGTCGGGGGGCACGACGCGGTTTTCGTCGGGCCGCCTCAGGGCGCGGCGCAGAATTCTACGGAGGTCCCCGCCCGCCTCCCCAGGGTGCCGGTTGCAAGCCGCACCCTTTGCAGACCACACCTCCCGGAGTCGCCGAATCATTTTTCCCGTGCCCCATTTATCTTATCTAGTTCCCCCTCCCTCCCCGCGGGGCGGCACAGGTGGACTTGGCCCGCGCCGAGCTCGTTGTCGAGCTGCTGGCCCCCGTGGGCTCGCCGAGGCCCGCTGGTGCGTCTCTGCCTCCTTCGGCTGCCTCGCGAGGGCCAGGGGCAGAGATAGGGGGAGTAGTCTCAGAGGGGGAGCGCGTCGGCCCCCGATCGCCACTGGTCGCCGAGAGAGGTCGCATGGCCCACCCCGCCCCAGAATGTGCGGAGTCGCTCTCGGGGGCCCATCGCCGATTCCAGTTCGACGTTTCCCTTCAGCCAGTCCCCCGCATCGCTGCCCCTCGTGGGGGCTTGCGGAGCGCTCAGCGTGCAGCACTCGGCCGGGAGGGGGTGGGCTTCGCGGTTCGAGGCTCAAGGATTGCGGTGTTCGGGCGTGTGCTGTCTGGCTCTCGGCGGGCTTCCTGCCTCGGGATACCGTCCACCGCCTGCGCCTCGCCTGGAGCGTTCCAGCTGTGCCCGGATCGTCCCGAACGGCCGTTGGAGGCCCGAGATATAGTGAGCGGCTTGAATAAGGAACACTTACTTTCAAAAGGGGCTCGGTCGTACCTTAGGTTTGCATGCGTTCCGCGTTAGGCCGTTCTTTCGCACTTCGTAGACTCACTTGGAACAAAAAGCCTCGTTTCTTATTTGTCGTTCCTAGGGTCAGGCCGATGACGGTATGACCCGAAAACATCAGGGGACCAGCTCAGGGGAGAAACTGGAGTCGGCGACGCAGGGCCGATCGTTCGGCGGTAGTCCCCCAGTAGCCAGCCCGTATGTTCTTCGACGGGCGGGCTCTTGGGCCGCCATCGGCGATTCATGGGCGATTCGAGGCCGATGCGTATATATATACATATATAGAGAGAGAGAACAAACAAGGTGATACCAGAGGAAAGCCACAATCAAAATATGTTTAGGGCTATAGGGCTGTAGGGCTATAGGGTTATAGAGCTATTGGGCTATGGGGCTATATGGCTATATGGCTATCGTATAGAACCCACAGGGTAGGCCTACCCTAGGCCTACCGCTAGGCCTACGCCCTAGGCCTACCCCATAGTCCTACCCCTAGGCCTACCCCATAGTCCTACCCTAGGCCTACCCCTACCGAGGCCTTCCTCCTAGGCCTACCCTAGGCCTTCCCCTAGGCCTTACCCCTAGGCCTACCCTGGGCCAACCCCTAGGCCTACCCCATAGGCCTACCCTAGGCCTACCCCTAGGCCTACCTCTAGGCCTACCCTAGGCCTACCCCTACCTAGGCCTTCCCCCTGGGCTAACCTAGGTCTACTCCTAGGCCGTTCCCTTAGGCAAACCCTAGGCGTACCCCCCCAGGGCCGCCCGCCCGACCCGGCCCGCCCGACCCGACTCGCCCATTAGCATCCGACCCGTCCCGACCCGACCCGACCCATTAGGGTTCTCGCGTGTCCATTCGTTGATGCATCATACTGTAATGGCTCGCCCGCCCGCCCCGACCCGCCCGTTAGGATCCGCCCGACCCGGCAAGACCCGCCCGTCAGGGGTCTCGCCTGTCCTCTCAGTGCCGCCCCCCCGACCCGACCCGTTCGATAGGGTCCCGCCGATTGGACCCGGCCCGCCCGTTAGGGTCCACCCGTCCCGTCCCGACCCGACCTGCCAGAGTTTTGGCGTGTGCACTCGCACATGCATCATATCTTAATGTCCCCCCCGCACGTCCCGACCCGCCCGTTGGGGTCCAACCCGTCCCGACACGATCCGCCCGTCAGGGTCCGCCCGACCCGACCCGACCCGCCCGTGGGGGTCCGCCCGACCCGACCCGTCCCGATGCGCTAGGGTTCTCGCGTGTCCATTCGCACATGCATCATACTTTAATATCCCGCTCGCCCGACCCGACCCGCCCGTTAGGGCCCGACCCGACCGGACCCATCCGTTAGGCTCGACCCGACCCGTCCCGCCCCAGCCCGAACCGCTAGGGTTCTCACGTGTCCATTCGCACATGCATCATACTTTCATGTCCTGCCGACCCGCCCCGACCCGCCTGTTAGGGTCCGGCACGACCCGACCCGATCCGCCCGTGGGGGTCCGCCCGACCCGACCCGTCCCGTCCCGATCCGACCCGTTAGGGTTCTCGCGGGTCCGTTCGCACATGCGTCATACTTTGATATCCCGCCCGCCCGACGCGACCCGCCCGTTTGGGACCCGACCCGACCCGACCCGACCCGTCCGTTAGGGCCAGTCCCGACCCGTCCCGTCCCGACCCGACCCGTTAAGGCTCTCGCGTTTCTTTTCCGCACATGCATGATACTTTCATGTCCCGCCGACCCGCCCCGACCCGCCTGGTAGGGTCCGGCCCGACCCGACCCGACCCGCCCGTTAGCGTCTGCCCGATCCGACCCATCCCGTCCCGACCCGACCCGCTAGGGTTCTGGCGTTTCCACTCGCTGATGCATCATATTTTAATGTCCCGCCCGCCCGGCCCGACCCGCCCGTTAGGGCTCGACCCGACCCGACCCGACCCGCCAGTTAGGTTCAGCTCGCACGACCCAATCCGCCCGTTAAGGTCCGACCCGACCCGACCCGACCCGCCCGTTAAAGTCCGCCCGATTCGTCCCGATCCGACCCGGTAGGGTTCTCGCGTGTCCATTCGTTGACGCATCATATAATGTCCCGCTCGCCCGACCCGACCCGCCTGTTAGGGTCCGACCCGACCCTACCCGCCTCGCGCGTTAGGGTCAGCTCGACCCGGATTGACCCGCCCATTAGGGTCTGCTCGACCCGACCCGTCCAGTCCCGTCCCGACCCGTTAGAGTTTTCGCGTGTCCATTTGCGAACGCATCAAACTTCAATGTCTCGCCCGCCCGCCCCGACCCGCCTGGTAGGGTCTTACCCGACCCGACCCGACCCGCCCATTAGCGTCTGCCCGACCCGACCCGTCCCGTCCAGATCCGACCCGTGAGGGTTCTCGCGTGTCCATTCGCACATGCATCATATTTCAATGTCCCGCCCGCCCGACCCGACCCGCTCGTTGGGGTCCGACCCGTCCCGACCCGACTCGCCCGTCAGGGTCCGCTCGACCCGACTCGTCCCGCCCCGACCCGAACCGCTAGGGTTCTCACGTGTCCATTCGCACATGCATCATACTTTCATGTCCCGCCCGCCCGACCCGACCAGCCCGCTAGGGTCCGACCCGTCTGGACCCGACCCGCCCGTTAGGGTCCGATCGACCCGTCCCGTCCCGACCCGATCCGTTAGGGTTCTCGCGGGTCCGTTCGCTGCGTCATACTTTGATGTCCCGCCGACCCGACCCGACCCGCCCGTTGGGGTCTGACCCGTCCCGGCCCCTTCTCTGCATTTCTCCTCCTCGTCATCCTCACTTCTCATCTTCTTTCCTCCTCGTCCTCTCTTTCTCCCGTCTCTCCCCAGTTTTCCCTCTTCTCTCCTCCGCATTGTTTCTCCTGACTTCCCCTTTTCACTACTCCTTTCTGCTCACTCCTCACTTTATCTCTCCCCCCGTCATCCCGTCATCGTTAATTGTCATTATCATGTTTCCTCGATATCACCTTCTCCCTTCTCTCTCCTGCTCCTCGCTTATCCTCCTCTCCCCCCATCCGCCTTTCTGCTCACTTCTCCTTTCACTCTTCCGCTATATGCACTCCTCATTCAACCTCTGTACTTTTCTTCCTCCTCATCCTCAGTCCTCCTTGTTACTATTCCCTCCCCTCGTGAAACAGAGGAGTGAATCGATCCCCACTGCCCATGTTTCTATGTGCGTGAGGAGGGCTCCTGGGAGTTGCTGATCATACCCAGGCTATGCGGCCTTTGGGGTTGGCAGTTCCTAGGCCTACCCTGAGCCTGACCCCCCAGGCCTACCCTAGGCCTACCCCCCAAGCCTTGCAGCTAGGCCTTCCCTACGCCTGTCCCTAGGTCTACCCCCTAGGCCTTCCCAAGGCCTACCCCAAGGCCTGCCCCCTAGGCCTACCCTAGGCCTACCCCTAGGCCTTCCCCTAGGCCTTGGGTAGGGCCTACCCTAGGCCAGCCTAGGGCCTTCCTTGGGTAGGGCCTAGGGTAGGCTACCCCCCGTGGTCTATGCCGCTACAAGGCTATCGGGCTATAAGGCTATCGGGCTATAGGGCTATGGGGCTATTTTTGCTGTAGGGATATAGGGCTACTGGGACTGTAGGCCGCCCTCTGGCCGGCCCGCCCGCGCCCCCCTGGCGAGGCGGATCCCGCTCGGCCGCGTGGGCGCCGCGGCGCGCCGGGGCGACGGCTGGAGGCCCGCCCTGGAGCTGCACCTCAGCCCGGAGGCGGCCCTCGCCCTTCCCGCGCGGAGGGTACAAGGCTCCGGTGTCAAGCAGTGGCGAAGCGTCCCGGCTCGCCTGTGGCCCTACTGACACTGTTTTGTTTTAACACATCGGGTTAATGTTATAAGAACATTGTTCTTGTTCTCAGGACATTTGTGGGTTCTAACAGCATTTCGTGGTAGGACTAGGAATGCCGGGACGGTCGGTCCCTGCTCAACAGTTGGCGCACAGCCTCCGGCGGCGCCCCTGGGGGCCGGTGGCGCTCGAATTTTTTGTAGCCCAGGGGTGGGGGGGGGCGGCCTGTCGCACACTCCTCGGGTACAGAAGCAGGGATGGGGAAGGGGGGGGAGGAGGAAGTTTGGCCACGCGGAGAGGGGCGTGGGGAGGAGAGGGAGGAAGAGGAGGAGGAGGAGGAGGAGGAGGAGGAGGAGGAGGAGGAGGAGGAGGAGGAGGAGGAGGAGGAGGAGGAGGGAGGAGGAGGAGGAGGAGGAGGAGGAGGTAGGAGGAGGAGGAGGTGGTGGAGAGGGGGGTAGGGGCAGGTCGTGGGCGGCAAAGCGGGGGGTGATGATTAGGGGGGTGGAATCATGGCGTGGGCCATGATATTTCCCCAGATTTCATGGTGCCTCTTCTGATTTCATTACGCCCCTGGCCCTCTCTCCCAGGCCGCGCACATGCCGCTGGCCATGATTTGCGCCCCCCCCTCTTGGACACCCTCTTCTTGGCCGACTCCGATGCATCTTTGGGGGACCTCGTCTGTCTCCAAAGCTGGGGTCTTTTCCTGTGCCCGACGCGGGCTCGATGCGGACTCGACGCGGCTTCGACGCGGACCGACACGGCTTCGATACGGACTCGAAGTGCCGGACCCAGCTTCCACATGGACTCGACGCGGATCGCGGCGCGACGGGACAGACAAGTTCCCCCGAAGATGCAACATAATGCGCCCAAGTCGGACGGGGCCAGGACGAGGATCAATCCGTTCCTGAGCGTCCCTGAACGCTCTGAGAGCGTTCTGGAGCGTTCTGAGAAGGCCGCGGCGCCCGAGACATCCTCCAGAGCCGGCGGATCTCAGAGATGTTCGATTTGTCCTCACCCGAATTTCTCCTCGCCCTCCCCGCGCGGATGGTGAGGCTTCGGGTTTCGCACGGCCTCCAGCGGCACCAGCCTCCGGCGGCGCCCCTGGGGCGCTCCGCGCCCAAGGTTCAATCGGCCAAGTCGCGCCCAAGGAATATTCAAATGTTGTCGCAAAATAGTCTGGGGACGTTTTTTTCTCACTATTTTTAGCATCTGGGGGTACTGTTGGACTATTATCCAATTTTCGTCCAAAATTCGCCTGTAGGGGGACAGGGAGACCGCCCAGGACTGCTCGGGGGGCCTGTTGAGGCCAACCGAGACTAGCTGCCTGGGGGGGCTGTCCCTGTGCGCAGCCCGAAGCCTTACCAGGCGCGGAGGTCTGCCTCCGCCGTGGATCAGGTCGTCGTCGTCGTCCTCCTCCTCCTCCTCCTCCTCCTCCTCCTCCTCCTCTGCCTCCTCCACCACCTTCACCACCTCCTCCTCCTCCTGCATGGACGACGACGACGGAGTGTTTTCAGATGTTAGGCTTTTGGGGGCCTTCGCCCGTTCCCGGGACTGTCACAGAACGATTTGGGATGAAAAGCCGGTTCCTGGGGAACGGGTCGACAAGCCTCTTGGGGCCGACGCTGTGGAAAGACCACGACGGAGGATGGTATAGGGGAGTGCAGACGGGATCGGGGGACCGCGCCGCATCGCCGATGCATCGGCGATGCGGCTCGACGTGGAGCCAGGTTCTCTCCGCGCCAATACCTTGGCGCCGATGCATCGGCGATGCGGCGCGCGCACTCGCTGCGCGCCACGCACGGACCGCACCAGCCGCACGGGACAGCCGCTCGGGACGGCCGCGGAACAGCCGCACGGGGCAGTGTCGAGGAACAGCCGCAGGACGACCCCCCGAGCCACGCGCTGGGCACTGGGCGTTCCTCTGTGACGTGCCCAGGCGCCGCTTCGCACAGACACGAGAAGAACCGAGGCTTATGTTGCTCCCAAAGGCCCGTAAGGACCACATCCCAGAAACAGTTTCGGGTACCCAGAGAAGTGCCGAAACAGTGTCGAAAGAGTGTCGCCTCCCAAGGCCCGACACGTGAAAACCCTTACATTTCTGTACTTCCCTTGTGTTCGAAATTCTTTCTGGTAGTCAAGACTAAGGTAGGTTGGAACATCAGAAACCGAGGCCGAGGTCGACGTCTTGTGAGGAAGAGCCGGCGAGCCCAAGTCCCGCCGCGCGGGACGACCGGGCGCCGCCCCAGCTTGCGGCCTTCCTGGCCTCCGTTGCCGGCAGCAGCCGGGGCATCGCCCCATCGAGGGGCTCCGAAGCCCGTGGCCTTCGCGCTTGGGCCTTCGGCCACGTGCGAGCGTCGCCGCTCACCGCGCGGCTTCAGCGTGGCACAGTCACGCGCGCGTGCGTCCGTGCTGCCGGATCCTGCGGGTTGCTCGGCCAGTGGCCAGATACCCAGAGCCAGGGGCAACGTCAGGGAGAGCCTGGCCGGGGCAGCAGCGACCCCCGAGCGCCCATGCATCGCCAGTCGGGGCCCCCGATCGCAGAACCGCACCGGAGCGTGCGGTTCTGCGATCGGGGGCCCGCAGTCGAGCCGCTGGAACAGTCAGGGGCCACCCCACCCCTGGCTCGTGAGGGGCGATGGTTTTCGGGCCAGTGCTCACATCCAGGTCCAGGAGCCTGCAGTCGGGGTCGAGGCTCGCCGTGGCGAGGGTAGCCCCTTCGCTCTTCATCCAGCGCGCCTCGTGGCAGCACGATGGCTGTACCTCTGATCGCTCGGCGATGTATGGTCGAGTCCACGTCATTCGTTCCCCGTACCGTTTCCCCTCACAGAGCACGGAGGCTTGCTTGGCCAGCAGCCGGGGTGGGACCGTGCGCGCCTTCCTGTTTCCGTCGTCTCTCGCTCGTCCTCCCTTCCGCCATCCAGCCTGCGTGCGCCGCATCATTCTGCTCGCTCCTGCCCCGAGGACTCCCGGAGCGCTCTGGACAAGTCACGGGGGCGTGCGACCCTACAGGAATCGGAGAGGCCGTTGAGCAGTCTCTCGTGTTGGACTTGTGGACCCTCGTGCGGGATTTCTGCGGGCCCTGCCGGGCGCCTCATCGGGGCCTTCTTTGGGCGCCTTCTCGCGCGAGTCAGCAGCAGCGGCCCAGGGGTCCAGGAAGGGTCCCGAACGCCGCGGTGGAGCGGGCGGCGAGCTGGAGGCGCCGGCGCCGCGGCGGCCGGGTGAGTACTCAATCGGGGCGCAGGTGGCGGAGCGTTCCGCGCCGACCCCAGACCCCCTCCCCACGCGTCGTGGCAAATAAGCACGACGGATGGTTTTTGGATCCTCCTCGTACTCCCTCTGCCTTCTCCTCTCCCCCTCCTCCCCCTTCTCCTCATCATGTCATACTCCCCCTCGCCCACTTCTCCCCCTCCTCACCCCTCCTCTCGCCCTCTCTCCTCCCCCTCCTCCCCCTATCCTCCGTCCTTTTTCCTTACGTAGCACCCCGCAGTTGCGGATGAGAGTGAGGGGGCGGCGGGGACGTCGGCAGTCTGCGAGGTTCTGAAGAAGCCCGCCGCAGACGCTTGAGTTTTTGCAAGTCACACAACGAGCTTGACGCAGGCGCCGTTTTTTCATTGAAGTAATGTGGGTGGGTCGCGGGCCGAGTCGCGGGTGGGTCGCGGGCAGGTCGCGGGCCGGGTCGCGGCCAGACCCTCGATGCCCGCCCTCTCCGTGTTCGATCGTACCCCGCTTGGGGGTAGATTTCTATCTTCCTTAGTTGCCGCGTGGAATTGGGGCAGCCCCTTAAAGCAGGGGAAGAGGTCGGATTGAAAGGGGGAGGGGGAAGGATCAAGCACGAGGGAGATTAGCAGGAGGGGGGCCTATGACCAGAAAACACGTGGCAGAACCAGACCGTGATGGTCGGGTCGGGAAGGCGATCGGCCAGGTCGAGCAGGCGGGTTGCGTGAGTTCCGCATTGATCGTGAGGAGGCCTCGAGCGGTAGCGCGATTCCCAACTCAATCGCAAACACCAGAGCGAGCGCGCAATTCTTGAGCGTCGATGCCGCGGCGTTTGAATCCATTGCGAGGAAGTCCCTCCGCGTGAGCGCGATTCCTGCATACGCTGTGAGACAGTGTCGGGCGTGAGTCGTTATTGCTGTAACTCGGGTGCCAGCGGCCCAGCTTGGTGACCCCAGCTTTTGCCTGGTAAAAGACAGTGCGAGCCCCAGGACGAGCACTTTAGTTGAATAACACTGGCTACCAGGCAAGTGGGTCAACAATGATTACTCTTCAGAAGAATCAGCAATCATTTTCAGACTGTTCGCTCTTATCTGGTCGCGTATCGTTCACAGCGTATATCACAAACCCTCGATACCAGCCCTCTTCGTCTTCGATCGGACCCCCATGGGGGTATATCTTTCTCACCTGCCATTTTGGCCAAAGCTCTCTGGCTCGAGCAGTCTGCACGAGCGCCCTTTCCGCGCGCGGCGGACCGGCCCCTGGCCGGCCATGCGGCCTGGCGAGCTGTCCAGTGGCAGCAGCGACGGGCTGTCCAGCGGCAGCAGCGACTCCGACAGCGGCAGCCCCTCGGGTCTTCTCGACGCGTGGGAGGCCGAGGCTGGGAGCAGTGGTGGGAAGCCCGGCCACAGGGGCAACGATGCCTGGCTCACGGCCGGCATCATCGTGGCCGACGTGGTCGGCGCGGGGATCCTGTCCATGCCCGTGGCGGTGGCGAAGTTTGGCTGGCTGCTCGGTGTGGTCGCCATTGCGGCCCTGCTGTCCATGAACGTACACGTGTCGCTTCTCCTGTGGCGGGTCAAGATGAGATTCCTCGGGGCGCGCACGTACACCGACCTCGTCGAGGCTGCGTTCGCCGGGGCCCCGCCGTGGCAGAGGCGGGCTGCGCGCTCGTTGACTTACGGTTCGCAGCAGGCCTTCATCTTCGCGCTGTT